CCTGGTGTCAAGACGCAGTCCAGAAGACCGACGGTGGGATTGCGCGCAGGTGGCTGGCGCGGCCGAAGCCGCCCCTACACGTGCCGCCACCCCCCTCCCCCATATTCAACATTTTTGTATCGGCGTGCAACCCGAATAACGCCTGGCGTGCCCTTACCTGGCCCCTGTGTTGGTCAGCGCACATCTACCACGCGGCCCGTTTAGGAGGCACACAGACTGAGAGACGCTCATAACAAAACCCATGAAATCAAAGAAGGGAAATCACTAAGGTCAGCAGCGGTTACCAACTGGATCTGTGAAAGTAACAAAATATGCCACCTTAAAAATGGTACCTACAGGAAATGAGGAACTAAAGCAGAGTCACCATGGAATGCTTCTCGCGTCTACCGTGCCTGGTATCAATGCTTGACAGAGGCCAATTCCAGCCCCTAAGAGACGCTGACAACCCATGAGCGATATGAAAATCTCCCTAATACTACCTAACTAATGAATGGTAGGGCGCTCACCGATCTGGTGAAGGGATGCGCTCGTCGTATTGTGCCTTGGAGCTCAATCTAGAGCCCTGGTAGGCAGTCGCATAGCCACGCGCAAGATATGATGGAGTGGAACTGATAAAGACAAGAGAGACCGGAATGACCGGGAAGAGGATGCTCCCTAACTAGATCGGTAAGCACCTTAAAATTCATCATATTCCCGATCGAAACCAACAAATTAACGGAACCGTAGCTCAATGGTTGAGTGTTACACGCCATGGCTTAAGGGTCTCGCGTTCGAATATCGGGGCATCCACACCTGGGATTGGATACGATTGGCTGATGACGGCTAATAGGCCAGAAATGGCCTTTCCGGTCTCCCGCTTGTCTTTTTCGGTCCCACTCCATCACTGCTTAACTGCCTAACGTACTAAAATCTCCAAAGCCCGTGACCAAGCCCTGCCCAGACACACATAAACTGCTGGGTACTTACCAACAAGCGAGGGCACCACCCCCAACTTGGCACGAACCACGGGATACGCCTAAAAGTTGGCATGTTACACTGTCTCAACCACCTCTGTGAGGCCCGTAGCTCAAGCATGGGACAGAGTAGGATGTTCCGAAACAATAGCTGTGAAACCTGGGTTAACACTCACATCTACTAGCTGTCTGCCGGTGCCAACAGCGCGACAGCCATCTAAAGTCCAACCACCTGCAACCACTGTTTCTTACCCAACACAATCACAAACAGCAGGAGCATCCTTACTTGCAGGTAAAATGATGGCAAAACGCACGAAGGTTCAAAGAGTCGTCACTTCCTTAAGATCTCATAACCTACCAACTTTCTGAGCCTGTATAGAGTTAATTGTTGATTGCATGTACTTCTCTGTCTTGGGTCTGCCAAAAAATGAATGACTTTGTGGTTAGAGTTAGCTGATACGAGAGCAGTGTGGTTAGGAGCAGCAACAAAAAATTGCCAAAGGAGCCCCAAAAAGGAAACAAAGAGGTCTGATACCTGGGCGGTTCTAAAGCGGTCGGCCGGGGAAGCAGAGAAGGGGCGTTGGCGTGAGATCTTCGTTCCCCATCCAGCTGTGAGACGTAGGACGTATTGGCATCCGCCACAGTGGTGCGGCCCACATTAAGGTACTCTGGAAAGCGAGGTACCGGTTGTGACCACCTGGGAACGCGGTGACCACCCACGGTGTGGACGTCAGTCAGGACCGGTCGGAGGTAGTTTTCGGGGTCCGAACGAGGGACAAACGGGGGCGGATTCATTGAGAGCGGAGGAGAAACCGCAGATGCCGCGGAGGTTGTTATGACGTCCACAACTACGTTCACGTAGGGGCAGACGCTGTGTGGTGAGGAAAAACGGGATAAGGTGGGAGACGGTGATGGCATAAA